ACAAAGATTATTTGACCATAGAATTGAGGGTCCCTATCTGGGCTCTCTATTCTCTTCCAATGGTCTATATGTCTGTTTTTGTGCCAGTACCATGCTGTCTTAGTGATCACAGCTTTGTAATATAGCTTGAAATCGGGCAACGTGATGCCCCCACCTTTGTTTTTCTTTTTCAACATTTCCTTGGCGATTCGGGGTCTTTTCTGATTCCATACAAATTTTAGGATTGTCTGTTCCAGGACTTTGAAAAATGTCATTGGAATTTTGATCGGGATGGCATTGAAGGTATAGATTGCTCTGCATAGCATAGACATTTTAACAATGTTTATTCTTCCAATCCATGAGCATGGAATGTTTTTCCATCTTTTTATGTCTTCTTCAATTTCTTTCATGAGTGTTTTGTAGTTCCTAGAGTATAGATCCTTTACATCTTTGGTTAGGTTTAAGGAATGATTAGATTCTTAAGAGAATGCTTATGTTTGGTTGCATTCAATTTACAAAGGGCAATGAATCTCATAAATTCCCTAATTAGATGAACAGAGGAGGTCAAGTAAGTTTTCCTAAACTGTGAAAACCTTTGCAGCCTCCGTTAAACTGAAGAGAGAGTATAGCATAAGGATTCTGGCGACGACAACGTCCATCCAGTACTCCGGTGCTCGGCCAGAGGGGCGTCGCTATGCAAACTGATGATGGCATGTGAGTGGCGGTGAATAAATGCATTCACCAGGGGCTCCTGGGTGGCTCAGTCAACTGAGCATCATGTTTGATTTCAGCTCAGGTCATGAGCTCAGGGTTGTGAGCTCGAGCCCCGCGTTAGGCTCTGCGATCAGCGGGGAGTCTGGCTGGAGATTCTCTCCCTCTGGGCACCCCCCGCCCCGCCGCTCACTCTCTCTCTCTAAAATGAATAAATAAATCTTTAAGAAAAAAAAAGCACACACTAGGATCACCTGCTAATGCTCTACAGTGTTTGGGAATTTTATGGTGTGAATGAAGCAAATGTTTTAACCTTAGGAGAGCAGTCCATGTTTTAAGTTGACATGGCCACTAAATGCAAAGCCAAATAAAACAAAAGCGAGAAGAGAAGTCTGCTAGGAAATCACGTGATCTACTTCTAAGCCTTGCGTTAACTGGCAAAGGATTTGTAAGTTCCAGAAACAGGTAAGGCAGAAACGAGTTTTAACAAGTCCAACTGTAAAATAAAAGGTACTGTATGACTTGATAAGAGTAACTGAGTCAGACAAAGGTACTCAGGTACATGCCACCCGAACAGAAACCCTGATTTACAACCTGATGGAGACGGAAGAGGCCTTCAGGGGTCTGCCCTGAGCACAAAGGAAATCACCCAGGAACCAACTGTGAGGAACGCCACAATTTTACTCCCAAAGGTAATCTGGTGTTATCTTGCGGATGCTGAAAAATGCCAATACAGATCAACACAATGGCTGGATTACTTCTCACCAACCTCTAGAAAATGCCATTGAGTTCGGCCTGGGCAGAACCCTGGGGGTTCACTCGCAGCAAATGAGCCATCACTGACTCAGGGATAGCAGGCATGGCAGGGGAAGGTGTCGGCACTCCAAACGGGGTGGGCAAGTCTGCTTCTAGAACAGTGAGCCTTCAGCTCTTTTTCCTCTGCTCAGTTCCCAAGCAGGGGTTTCTTTCTGGACAAAAAAGACTCTCAGCAACTGATACTTAGAGGTCCCCCAATGAAAGACAGCCAGCACTTCATACCAACTGTGAAGCCCACTACCCAGGAAGCTCTATCTCTGTACAAAGAGCTTCTGAGCAGATGTGAGTACCTTACATATCAAGGGTCATTATAAGAGAAAAAGGTAATTGAAAAGAAACAGCAAAATCAAGTGACAGAAGAAAACATTAAATAAAAAAATCACATAAAACCTAAGAAAAAATTATATGCTCAGAGAGAAGAAAAACGCATTCATGAAAACAAGTACAGGATATTATAATTAGAGAGTAAGAAATAGCTTTTTGAAAATTATTAAAAAAGGGGCACCTGGGTGGCTCAATCAAAGCGTCTGCCTTCGGCTCAGGTCATGATCAGGTCTTGGGACTGAGCCCCGCATTGAGCTCCCTGCTCAGTGGGGAGCCTGCTTCTCCCTCTCCCTCTGCCTTTCCCCCTGTCCGTGCTCTCTCTCTCTCAAAAAGATAAATAAAATCTTTTAAATAAACAAATAAGTACTATGTAATAAAAAAACAAGGCAAATATTGGCTCCATGAAAAACAAAAAATTACAAAAGGAAACAAATGTATGTGGTACAATGGTGGGAAGAAAAAGCTACACACAACTTTGAAATATACCTAAATCCAGTGACATAACCACATTGGGAAGAGGCCTGTGTGTATGTATGTGTACAGAATGTGTGTCGGGAAGAAAGGCTGGAAGAAAAAGAAACGTATATTCTCATTTTCCATACTATGGAATTGGTAGATAATATCTAAAACTGAAGTATCTAGAAGTAGTAATATAATGAAGTTGTTTAGAAACATGAAGATAAATACCAGAAGAAATAGTTAAAAGAATGTAAAGCGTTTGACTCTTATTTCTTTAATTTTTTTTCTTACTCCCTTCTTTTCCTTCCCTTTTCCGACTCTAATCAGATATTGCCCATCTTCTCTAGTCTGCCCTTCTCTTCGTGCTTCATTTTGGGTAGTTTCTATTGCTGTGTCTTTGAGCTTACTGATAGTTTCTTTTGTGGATTATGCCATCCAATGTTGTCCGCCACCCCTCCCCCCCCATTCTGGTCTTTTTTATATGTGTCTCATTATGTCAAGGTTCCCTTTAAGGTAATTTAAAAAGTTTTCATACTTGTTTAAAAGTCCTGGTTCTATGTCCATTGTCTGTCATTTCTGGGTTTGTTTCTATTGATTGACTTTTCTCCTGGTTTTGTAATTATTTTCCTGCTTTTCTGTATGTGTGGTGATTTTTGATTGGTGCTAGACATTGTAAACTTTACATTGTTGGGTGCTGGATTTTGTTGTATTCTTATAAAGAGTGTTGGATTTTGTTCTGGCATGCAGCTAAAATACTTTCAGTTTAGTCTGATTCTTTGAAGGCCTCCTTTTAAGCTTTGTTATGGTGGGTCCACGGTGTCCATATCCTGGTGCTAATTAGCCCTACTACTAAGGCATGACCATTCTCAGGACTGCAACCAATACTCTGTGTATCATGAGGTCTATGTACTCTGGCCTTTAGGAACACAAACAATTCCCAGCCCTGATTGGTATCATATAACCTACTGCTTTTCAGGTGATTCTTTCTCTGGTTGGAGGGTGTTTTCTCCCATGCGTGCAAAAATCTCTACTCAGAAAAGGCTCAAGGGAGCCCCACCACTGCACATCTCTTTTTTTCTGTGTAGTTTCTTCTTCTCTGGTACTTTGCCTCATAAGTCCTAGACACCTTGATCTCCCTAAACACTGACTTCTGCCCCTCAATTCAGTGGGACAACTGAGCTCCGTCTGTGCTGCCCCTCCGAGCACTGCAGTCTGGAAACTGCCTCAAGGCAGTAAGCTCAGACAGTCACAGGGCTCCTCTTATTTGTGTCCTTTCTTTCAGGGATCACAGCACTACACTGTGCTGTTTCATTTTCCAGTGTCCAAAAACCATTCTATCTTTTTTCCCCCTCCTTGTCTGTTTTCAACAGATGAGCAACTCCCATAGCGCTTCAAAGCAGAAGAAAAAATTTCCAAGCCTTCTTCAGATTCAGATGTTATGCCTAACTCTCAAGCCTTTATTTATAACCCTATTCCCATTTGCAACCTGAATTAGTGAACTGAGGTATCTGAGATACACTATGTTATCTGAGAGAGACAGATAGACTAGGAATTAGTCATGAGGACTAGGAATTAGTCATGAGCCCTGATGCTATGACAGGACAGAGAATGTGCTAGAACTTGAGTTCTAGACCCAATTCTGCGATTTGCTGGGTGTGTGCTTTTAGTGATTTTACAACACAATGCCTCCGCATCCTCACTGCATATTAACAGCTGTGGACTAAGGCCCTGAGTACCACTTCCACAGGTCACTGTTATTCTTTTCTTTCTTCCTTTTAAATCTATGTGAGCTCCAAAACACCTCAGGGAAAAGCTGTCATTGGCCAAATTCCTTAGAATGTTTCTACCCTAGAAGGACAGAGTCGGTACTAAGCTCTGGAATTTTTGCCATGCCACAATTAGAGTTCCAACAACACAGCCGAAACACAGTATTAACCACGATGCTAGATCCTATGCTGAGTTCCAAATAAAAGTTATTTCTCTTCTGTACTTTCTATGAGAAGTAGAAATCAATGCCTTTCCTCGTTCATCAAGCCTACCAATTATTCGGATACGTGTTTACTTTCAAATTCTTCTAAAGAACTCATACAAAATATTTTTTTCTACTTTATTTTCAATACCAAGAATATCAACTTTTTCCTGCTAATTCCTTGTCTTACAGAGCACCTCAAAACATAATCTAGTTCCCTAGATTTATTTCCTTAAGCAATTAAGGAATTACATCAGACAAGGCCATTTCCTAATTTCATTTGGCCGAGAGGAGCGGCATTATTAGTAAACAATCCGTTAGCGGTGCCTTGGTGGAAACCTTTACTCGGGGATTCTTCTCCACATATTTTCTTGTGGCCCTCCTAAGCCAGCTCTTATTCCCCCTCTTCCTCTCTTGCTCTCTTTCCTGTCTCATGGCTCAGTATTGTTTCCTGCATCAGGAAAGTGACAGAGCACCAAACTACGGAGTACAGAACAGTGGGCAGAACTGCAATCAGCCGTTACCTGGTGGGATCCAGAAGGCAGGCTCTTTACTAGACCCTCTGTGTCGGAGGGGGACTTCCGTGGGGCCTGCTTAACTGGTGACACACTCTCTGATGTACTGCAGCTGATGAGTTGGCAGTTTGGAGAACAAATGTAAAAAAAAAAAAAAAAAAAAATTAAAATTAATGGAAAAAAAATATAGATATGGAAGTGATGACAAGATGAAGCAGCAGATAAAACAAAACACAACAGAACAATGAGTATCAAAATGGTCACAGATCTTGAGGCTATTTTTCATCCCTGACACTATTTCTTTCAAGTCAATGAACCTACTGTGTGTGGATAGAAACCAATGTAGTGTAACCTTGGTTTGCTGCTTTGTGTTTTCCCCCTGCTACCACTCCTCCTCTGGGATTAATGCTTAAAGAAGCTAAGCCTTCGTAATATCAATCCAAGGCAAACCTCTGCTGAATGTATTTCAAAAATTACAGATCCACATCCAGGCTTGTCGCCTTGGCTCATCTCATCCCTTCCATTCCTTAGCTCCCCGTATTCAGTTTCCCCACTAATACTACAACCCAACCAAAGAAAACCCAGGAAGTGACGAATGATAAGAAACTGTGAAATGTCACATCACAAAGGCTGAACTTTGGGGGCGCCTGGGTGGCTCAGTTGGTTAAGCGACTGCCTTCGGCTCAGGTCATGATCCTGGAGTCCCGGGATCGAGTCCCACATCGGGCTCCCTGCTCAGCAGGGGGTCTGCTTCTCCCTCTGCCCTCTTCCCTCTCGTGCTCTGTGTCTCTCATTCTCTCTCTCTCAAATAAATAAATAAAATCTTTAAAAAAAAAAAAAAAACAAAGGCTGAACTTTGTCAGCGCTCTGGGCATCTTTCACAACAAGCATTATCTCATAAATAAAGAAGGGAAAGTGAATGCCAGGAGGTAACTCATTGGGGATTCTCTAATGGTACTTGTCAGAGCTTAAATCCTTTATGATGCATTTTTAAAGAAAATCTTAGAGGTTTGGGGAGGTCCACATTCAAGTGTGGTTACTAAGAACAAAGCAAACTGTGTGTTCTGTGAACTGTGTCTTCTCTGAAACAGGAAGCTCTATGAGCTCTGTATCCCAAACCAAAATGGTCTGAGTATCTAACACAAAGAGGGTCTCAACCACCAATAACATAATTCACATATGAAAGAACACAAGAACACTAAAACACACACACACAAAGCCACTCTACGTGAAGAACATATATATTCAGATGATCATAAAACCTCCAGGAAACCTGACAACCCAATTTCCCTGGGATGGTACGCTCAACAAGTTGCCAATGCAAACATAGGACGTATTTATGGACAAACTATAATAACTGTTGGGTTAGCTCAGAGCTAGCTGGTTAGTTGTCGACAAGGGGGATGGGCTGAATACATACACATCAATGTTAACAGCAATGGGATTAGTTACCATGTGTCTAGTGGGAGTGGAAGAGGACCCCAGCCCTGTTACAGTCCCAGTGTGTCCTCTATGTCAGCCTTCCTTAAGAAGTGGAAGATAAGCAGGATCTGATCCCGGCACACCAAGGTAGAAAAAGCAGGGGAGGGGGAAAAAAAACCACAGTAAGAAGAGAAGCAGCATTCATGATGCCATGCAGGATTCTAAGGCACACTTTTCTGCCCCCTTCTGACCCCCAAAGCAAGAACTACGGACCCTGGTGGGTCACCACCCTGGATTAGTCTCATGTTGAAAACCAACGCTCCAGTTACAGTTCATCGTAAAGCACTCACCATGCAAAGGGGAGGACAGAGTCAGCAGGACAGAAGCATTCCAAGCAAACAAGATCTGAATTTGAATACTCAAACGTGTTAGAACACGGCACTCCTAAAGACCGGAGCAGCACGGGGGGCCAGGGCTCCCACCGCCCAGCAGCACGGGGGGGGCCAGGGCTCCCACCGCCCAGCAGCATGGGGGGGCCCGGGCTCCCACCGCCCAGCAGCATGGGGGGCCGGGGCTCCCACCGCCCAGCAGCACGGGGGTCCGGGGCTCCCACCGCCCAGCAGCACGGGGGGGCCAGGGCTCCCACCACCCAGCAGCACGGGGGGGTGGCCAGGGCTCCCACCGCCCAGCAGCACAGGGGTCCAGGGCATGCAATTTCTCAGAGCACACTCCCTTCAGGCTGCTGACGGCGAGCCCGTGCACAGGGGGCCTGGCTCGTGCTGCAGCCCGAATGCGGCCTCCGCTCGGTCTTACCCCGGGAGTCCTACAGAGCTTACATGGGCTAGCTGTCCAGCTGCAGCGGGGGAGAGAGAAGGTCCTTCAGTTAGACATGCACCCTCTGCTCCGAGGTGCTCTCTTTGAGAAGCCATAAACAGAAAGAAAATCTACTTCTCTTTATTGCTGGTACACTGTGGTGTCCAACTCTTGTTATCCCAGTTTGGAGGAGTCCAGCCATGCATTCGAGAATGATCAAAGCAATAAAACTGCTTACAAAACAACAGAAGGGAAAAGCCCTCATCATCACATCTGCTGGAGTTGTTTATTAGCACCAGGCTTTGGGACTAGCGCTTTATATTCACCCAACTGAAAAGAAGAACCTTGTGCAATTACTACCAAGAGATTCAAACCACACTGATAGTGGGAAAAGGACGTCTGTGGCTTCGTGGTCCTAACTGTGGTCCGTCCATGGCACCAAACCCCAGACAGGCACTCTGGAGCAAGCAGAGTGCCACAGTCCACGCTTACCCACAGGCCACCGCTCTCTGCTGCCCCCCAAGGACACACTCCCCGATTCCGATGTGAAAGCGAAAAGTAGCTCATACTTCACCCTTCTTTTTCCACAAAAAATACACCAGTTTTTTTATTCCTTTCCTCCCCCCATTTTCTCCCCCACTTCACCCCCCCCCCCAAGCACTGTTTCTTACCCAGTATAATCCGGTTTAGAGTTTCTCCTTCTATAGAGGACAGCCAGGATCATGCTGATGAGCAGAGTGAGACCTAGGACCACAGCAGTAACTATACCCACCACCACCCAAACTGGAAACACAGGCAAGATCTCTAGAGAGAAAGAACAAAATCGTTTTAAGGTACTTTCCTACCAAGAGAAGAAGTGGGATTTTATTATATTAATAATAAAGTGCTTTAGCAGTTTCCACTTCCTCTTTTATTGTCCACATTACAAACTCCTAGTGTCTAAATGATGAAGTACAAATATTAACGGATGAAGAATGAGCTACAGAGCGAAGCATTTCTACGCACACAATCCCTCCCTCTCAATGCTCTAAGGTCAGAGAAATTCCAGGGGTGTGAATTTACCTCAATTGGCTCTCCAACAAAGCAGACTTTGTCTCAAAAGGAGACACCAGAACCTGCATTTCCTGCTTACTTTCCAAAAAAGGGAAGAAAAAAACTGTCCTGCTTCTGCAGATGTGAAAACTTTCTCTCGGGGAATATGGAAGCAGTATTAATCTTCTTTCCCACTGCCCACCCCACCCAACCACTGTGAATTCGGTCTGACTTCTAATTAATACTAAAGAATGCACACTGCTGAATTTGGATCAGCAGGCTCCAGATGAAGAACCTGGCTAGTCCAGTTGGAGAAGCAGGTGCGCCCTGAACGCGCTCGTGTGAGCGAGCCACAGGTCCACGGGGACAGGGGCCTCAACTGTAGTACAAACACACTCCTTCCCAACACACCCGGAAATGTAAGTCTTGCTCTCCACCTAAACCTGAGATAAAAGGGGCTGTGTCACCACTGCCAAAATACCCAAGGAAGTACCTTTCTCTACGACATAGAGCCTAATGTGTCCTGGCTGGGCAACAATGTCAGGAGGGTTTTTGACGTCACAAATATAGGTGCCATTGTGTATAAACTGCATGTTTTCTATGTTGATTGACGCATCTTTCTTGTCGAGGTCTCCAGCCCAGCTGATTCTGTCCTTAAATGGTGGGTAATTCCCAGGATACGCTTGCCCTTGGGAGTAGTGGAAAAACTGCAGTTAGAAAAAAAGAACACATGAGCTCTTCTCAGTGGCAGGCACTCTAAACTCTGTAACAGGCATGCTGTGGAAGGTTCTTTTCAAAAGACTTCACAGAGAAAGAAATACAACTTCATATGACAAGTGAGCTATGGAATAGAAGCCAGACCAGAGTTTAGAAATCACAGGGTTTGACCCTATTTCAGTTGAAGAAATAAACTCGTGTATCATCTCAAATCTTCTCAATATGCCACTGATGAAGTGATTACTCCCCATTTCTCATACATAAGGAAAAGGAGACTGAAGGAAGCCATTTGCTCAAGGTCACAGTGATAACGGGGTGGATCCAAAGTCAAAGTCAGGACCATCTGGCCCTTTAGAGCCAGTGACCACACCATGACTGAGCTTGTAAATCCAAATGTTTCGGTCTGAATTCACGAAGTTTACCATTTAGTTCTACAAAGACCTGAAGTAAGCAAAGCCTAAAGTTCAAAGATCAGTTAGTTAATCTGATGGGCTTCTCCCTCTTATGTATTGGTTTCCTAGGGAAATGTTACGGGTGTGTGAGAGGAAGCCCAGACACCCCAATGTCCTCGCTTCTCTTTGAAGATTCCGCCTTCAGCTAACTTTCCTCACACCTGCTTTTAGCAAAGGAACTCATTTCTCAAAGAAACCTTGTCAAGCCCAGCACCTTGGAAGCTAGGTATGGTCTAATGGGTGGGGGATCTATCCTGATACTTGGCTTCAATCCCAGCAGCTCTGCAGGGGGCTTGATGCCTTTCTTGTTATTCACAGGTGCGATGATAGTGGGCCAGGGGAAGAAATCAGCATTAGTCAAACACAAGCTCCGTGGTAACTCAAACAGAACATTTTTAGAACCCTGTGAGCACAGTGAATCCTCTGTGTGATTTAAGGACATTGATATTTTGGTAACTCCCCAACCCCTCTCTCCACCTGTGGTGTTCCCCTGAGCTCTGAATCCTCACCCAGCTGCCTACTCACTTTACAACCCAGCTGCTCCACCTCCAAGTTTGTCACCTTCACCTTCCATCTGTGTGTCCCATCTCAACTGGTGGATGACTGCATCTCCCAAACCATAAATCCCGGAGTAATCCTTGATTCCTCTACCTTCCTTCCCATCCAGTTAACCTACTAATCCTGTCAATTCTACCTCTTAGTTTTTCTCTTCTCTCTATTGAAGTTCCACTGATAATACATCATTTCGTACTCTCATCATCTTGGACTGTGGCCTCTTAACTGCTCTCAACCTTCTCTAATCCAACCTCCATGATGCCTAAATGATCACTGGAAAATATTATTAGTAATAATTATATTATTATTATTACCATTTATCAAGCATATACCCTGTGCTTAATATAACCTATATGCTTGTTAAGAACAGCAAGCATTCTTATTTCCTGGGGTGGAAAAGAAGTGGGAGCAGATAGGGAAGGATAGGACCAAAAAACCCCCACAAGATTCAAGATTTAAAAATTGGGTCCTTAGACAAACACAACTACCCAAAAGAACTAGCAAAGAAGGTAAACAAAGGGGAGAGAAGATGAGTTCCAGTTTAGACATGGGGACCCTGATTCCACAGACCAGAAAAGCCATCTATGGTATGTCAGGCTTGAATTTTCCTGGAAATCTGTAAAAACCAAAGCATCCAGCTCATCTTATTAAATATATTCTGATACTTTCGAGTTAAAAGATCTTATATCAATAGCTAAGCATTCTGGAATTACCTGTAATCAGGTTGGTATGTAAGTATAAATTGATTATCCTAATATGCTCATGAAAAACACAGCATGTTCTTTATATTAAGTCTTATAGACTTGCCTCAACCCACTTGACAAGAATGTTTTGAGCATAAATGGAGCCAACTATTTGAGAGAAAGTTATTACCACTGGGTGTCTTCCTGGTGATGTTTTATTTCCTATAGACTAAACAATGCCCCTCACATCCACTCTTACCGAAGACTTCAGTTGGGAAACCTTCACAGGTTTGGACTCTCTCTCTCTCTTTTTTTTTTAAGATTTTATTTATTTATTTATTTGACGGAGAGACACAGCATGAGAGGGAACACAAGCAGGGGGAGTGGGAGAGGGAGAAGTAGGCTTCCCGTGGAGCAGGGAGCCCGATGCGGAGCTCAATCCCAGGACCCTGGGATCATGACCTGAGCCGAAGGCAGACGCTTAACGACTGAGCCACCCAGGCGCCCCGGTTTGGGCTCTCTTGAGTAAACTTATGTGCGCTTGATTTTGCGTCTATAGGAAGCAGGTTCTGCACTGGGGCCACGCTCACATGAAGCAGCAGACTGTTTCCCCATGACATTTGCATGATTCCTGCTCTCACTCACTCCTGTGCTACCTTATACAGAATCACACCCAGCTGTACCCAGTGAGTAAGTTATCTAAATCTACACTCCTGGACTTGATCCCAGCCTTCCTTCCTTCTCAGGCATAACACGCAGGGCATCTTCCTTTTTTATGCACATCCTGGGGGACACAGGTCCACTTAAGAATTTGGAAGTCAGGCGGCACCTGGATGGCTCAGTTGGTTAAGCAACTGCCTTCGGCTCAGGTCATGATCCCGGAGTCCTGGGATCAGGTCCCACATTGGGCTCCCTGCTCAGTGGGGAGCCTGCTTCTCCCTCTGACCCTCTCCCCTCTCACGCTGTTTCTCACTCTCTCTCTCTCTCAAATAAATAAATAAAATCTTTTTTTTTTAAAGAGGAAGATCTTTTTTTTTAAAGATTTTTATTTATTTATTGAGAGAGAGAGAATGACAGAGAGAGAGCACGAGAGGGTGGAGGGTCAGAGGGAGAAGCAGACTCCCTGCTGAGCAGGGAGCCCGATGCGGGACTCGATCCTGGCACTCCAGGATCATGACCTGAGCCGAAGGCAG